TATATATATAGGTGTGTCTGTGTATATGTACAGAAAAACGGACCAACAGAAAATAAAAGAGGCCCCGTTTTGCCAATTAGGGGAATATCAGCGTTCTTCTCAAAGTAAGGAATTAAGGAGTGCCGTGCGAGATTTAGTGGAGACGATTGACGACGCTGAAGTGGAAAAGTGGCCTCGTGCAGCCGTGGTGCAAGAGACGACGAAAAAAACGAGTACACACAGAAATAAAGGGTGTCTAATGGTCGACAAGGAGAGTACCAGAACGAAGTTATATTGTATCACGTGCCGCTGCGTGGGACCGTGAGACTAATAAATAGGAACATATTTTTGTGGTGTGTATCTATATACGTCCAAATGTACTTTGGATAGTCAACTCGTTTACTTAAGGGAGCTGCATGAGTGCGTGATCGGGAGTCTCTCATTGACAGATCATGAAACGGCTGAAAAGAATCTCGAGATAAAGTAATCAATATCTCTGCAAACCTTCAAGAGCGCTTCTTCTAGCGCGTGTAGGAATGCGTGCTAATGGATTCCTTAGGCACATCCTACCTGTCACAGTAACCGGTGCGTGCATGTGTGTGTGAGGTTAGTGTACTTAAAGCTGAGCTCCTTGGATGTGAATCTTGGATATTACGTCAACGAAATTACCGTGCATGTGTTTGTGTGTAAATAAGACATGTTATAATTGCCATTAGGCAAAAAAATTAGCACCGATATTCTGCTGGGCTCACAGATGGTTTCTGTCGTTCGGAAGTCACCTGGAACGGCTTGCGAAGGCCTATTTAATCAGGTAAGATGTGTTCCATCGCACTTTCGAATAGATAGAATAGATATACATCTACGTGCTGCTTGCGATCTCCAGCACCAGCTATTTTATTTGGTAGACACTCCAGCTGAGCGACGCTTATAAGCCGCAAACTAACCGGATTGATACGAGAATCTATAGCAGGATCTATGTAGGACTCGGCCTAGGTGAATCACAGCTCTATTAGATATTCCGTGTAGCACTTACAAGTAACACTATCACCATCAATTCCCCCAAAGGCCGTTTACCACACTAGCATGTTTTTGGTCATGATGAATGTCAATTATAAGGTTAATGTATCACTAACTTTAAATAAATTCATCGTTTTATAGAATTCCATACCTGATCCTTTATTCACTCGCAGTTGTATACGATAGAATCGTGATATTTAGGAATGAGGGCTGAATGAAAACTTTAGGCAATGCAAAATAGACAACATTCTAATCATCTTAAAGGCGTGCAAATCTTATAACAACATGCTATGACGCTGGCCTGCGATAATTAAGTACGTCCCTTAACAAATATCAGCTATACTTTGCATGTATGTATACATCGTTGTTCCTGGGACGGTTGTTTGTATGTTGACGTGCACAAACCATCAAGCGTAGCACGACATTGTCTCTTACTGTCGTAAGATGGCCATTGTCCTCGACAGTCAAATTTACGCTTTCTTTCCCGGAAAGGCCACTGATATGGCCTCGTTGCCGAACTTGAACTTGAGCTGTCACATCGTATCACCACTAATTGGACGTGCGCGAACTATACAAATCACTACGATTCGTGCCCACAGCGGCCTATATACGGTCCGCGTACTTTCGCTGGCTAAACCAGCAATAACGGTAGTGATAGTAGCGGTACTTCAAGTTGTGTATGCTAATGGCTTCAATCCAATTTACTCATAATGATTTGTGTTTGTCGATTCTACTGTATTTACACAGCCTGACCAGCCAGCCGACGGTCCCGGCCATCTATTCCGCACTGTTATACGAACATTATTGTTTATCATTGCTATCACTGTCTATGCAGTTACCACCCGTGCCCGCTGTATTTTCAGAATTTCAGCACGTTCCTTCGAAAAAATACATTTGGAACGGAAATATCGAGTTGGCGTATTTATGCCTTTCAGATTTGGCGTGCACGTGTCCACGGCAGTCTGCTCAACCTACGCGTATTTATCTATCTATCTATATATATATAAAACACATAGGTTGAATAACATGTGTCACTGGAGGGACTTGAAGCAGTAACTAGGGTATTTCGACACACCCACCTATATATGTGGGTAGGTATGCCAGGAGAAATCAATAAGCCAATTCATGCTAACACGGGAGTGACTTACCGAGTCTGATCGACGCGTCACAAAATAGAACGGGTAGAAGCAAATAATGAATGCAACAATATGCTAACTCTACTATTTATCAGTTTCTAACTGATAAATATGGCCCAACATAAACTTAGCCCACTTGCGAAGTATAGGCGATATACTTTCTTCAGATCAAGCTACAATTTTGTGTTATGTCACGAACAATAGGTACCTGTCTCATTGTGGAGTTTCGTTCGTTCGCTTATGGGAAATGTCTTCGTACATGTCTTGTATCAGTCGCATAGTTCCTCTGAGTGCGCTGGACGTTAGTCATAATGACGAAACTTAGCTCCCGATAGACAGATCATAGAGGAAATAGTAGGAAGGCATTAAGAGCTGTTGAACCTAAAGGTAAAGTGAGTGCATGTGAGCAGACTGTGTCTGAAGATCGTAGTGATGCTTCATGCTCAGACGCTTCGGTTATGATCCGCACACATATTATTGCAGGCTCATTGGTCGGACTATTGTGTGTCCAGAAGTACATCTTGTCAAAAAGACGGTAACAAATGGTTGTACCTTTCTACCGAATCTGGACGACGGAGAAATTTATTGACAAATCGTTTGTAGGTGATTGTAACTTTGATATTCGTTGCGTGGCTGTTTCTTCTACCGAAAATCGAGAGCACATAACGTAACAGTATGAATAAAAGCTATGAAAAAAAAAAAACGAAAGATCGTTTCTTGCTTAAAGGATCACGCAGCACTTTCGAGCTTTTTAGTTCTCTCTTTCTACTGTTCTAATAATCTACAGTTCGAGTGCTATATTCTATCCGAATGCAGGCCAGCGTCTTTCCTTTCCCCTTCATGTGTGTGTGGGGAGGGCACTTGGCTCTTATTCGTCTAAGGCGCTGCCTAAAAATCATGGTACAACCATCATCGTGTAGCCGCTGTAGTATCTGTTGTTCCATCTTTCCCATACTTCCCCTACCTCCCATTTGCTCATCACCCCCCAAATGTGATGCGCTGACGAACTAGGTTATCACATATTATATCTTTCAGCAAGGTACTTTGCATGCATTGACGTGCTGCGGGCGTCGCGAAACCCGCCGAACGCCAATTACACGGTGCGTGTCTGATTGCGGTCGCATTCGGTCGAAAATATCCGACATAGATCAGTGGAGTAGAGGAAACATGGTCGCAAAGGTAAAAAAAAACAACAAGAGCAAGAGTATGGTGTGTTATTGGAACGGAAAAGAAGCGAACAGTTGATGAGTTAACGATGGACGAAGTAGGGACGATTATTACCAACGTACGATCGGTCAGTCGCTTGAATATATATCTACTTGGCTAATTTCCCCAGACATCGAAGCTTTATTTGGTGTTTTTTTTTTCTTTTTTTTTTTTGCAAGCCATTTTGATAAGTGTTGTTGCCAAATATCTATCCCATCGGTTAACTCTCCCGACGGTTGACCAAACGTCAGAATGCCAAACTATATTAATGCGATATAGATATTACTGCACTATAACTATAATCCACTTAATATTCAGATGAAAATCGACGGATCTGGCCTGATAAAAGGTAGAAAAATGTAGGGAAATTTATCTATAGATAGAAGTTGGTATTAGTGCTTCCTATTAATATTATCGCAATTAAAAAACATCACGGCCGACGACCTTTGGTCAGAAACAAGTAGATGTTGTTACGCAGTAGCTATGCTCGCCTTTTCTTCTATTCTTCTGCCTTGTAGTAACTCTATGTGAGCTATAATAGAGACAAGTTCAATGTTGATTCGATGTACATAGACAATCTTAAGGTGTATAAGATTTTGGAATCACGTGATGAAAAGCCAAAAAGTGACGATGGTTATACAAAACACATATTTTGATATCCAAAAATAAGACCTAGATTGAGTACATTTGAGTATTCGGTCTCTCGGAACGTTCCTGATAGGCCTCATCAATAGGCTCGAAGTATCAGAAAAATATTGGAAGAAAAAATTGTTTGAGGACTCTGATATAGTTTTACAAAGAAAGAAGTCTAGAAGCAAAGGAATCTTTTTTTTTTTCCAATGTATAATACCTTGGCAGGGGCGACGTAATAATTGGATCGCTCAAAAATGCATGATTGATTATGGTGTTCTGAATTTGTGCCAAAATGTGCGTATTTACTCTTGCACTTTGTACCTACTCTATGATAATTATTTGCTAGCGGAAATACGTAAAAAGTTAACACAAGTCACTGATATTGTTAAATCACATATAAACAACCAAGGTAAACGATATCATAGTGAGTCAGTTATTGAACACCACTACTCCAGGCCCGTGTCATCTTCAATTGGCCTTTTGTCTTCTTCTTGACTAGTAATTTGCCATAATATTGATCTATATTTCTTCAATGATGCATTGCACAGATATCGTACTGGCCAGTGTCAGTCAACGGATAAATACACCAACGATGGCTATGAAGGCAGAACATGCAGTAGGTTATATAGCATTACCGCTGCTATGCGATCAATGCAATTTTAGTTGCAGGTTACGTACTAGACGGGCATGCGTTCTGAACGTAATCTATATGAACAGTCATTAGACCACTACAAATAAGCAAATAATGGCAGTGTTCTGGGGTCGAATGATACAAGGACATCCGGTGAAGTCTCGGATTTGGCCTTAATGGTTGGACTTGATTCCGCTAAGATTAATACTGACTAATGCACTCTATCCCCTAAGCTTCACTTTCTGCTAGGGTGGAATTTCCTTGAGTCGTATTAGGGAATGTTAGGAAAAGTAAGAGGGCCTATGAATCGACTGCTCGTGGGTACTTTGTTTTATCAAACGCGCTGTATACCGATACCAGTGAAATCGGAGTTCTGACTGCGCCATCTGCTTGGTCGGCAGCCACGGGAAAAAAATCGGACATCCGTTGCTACACGCCCTTTTATTCAGAACATCTCTGGCTGTGACTTTCACTCCCTGACAGTAGCACATATGAACTCCACAAGCTCTGCTAAAACCAGATGATGCCACGAAACCCAAAATTCATTAAGCAATTCGATCGGCTGCTCCACTGCGCAATAGTATCATTATAGTTTAAATAAAAAAGCGGCAGAAAACGAAAGTATGATGAGTAAACGAATAGAGAAAAGCGGCATTGATTCGGACACTGGTTGCCAACAGATACAGAAAGTTGAAAGGTGCTCTTGCAAACTTTTGCGCTCCGAAAAGGCGCAGCTCTGTCAGAATGGAGGTAAGCTTTTAGGTAATTAACACGGACCTTTTTGATTCATGTATATAAATACTCCAGTTGTATTTTAGGATAGTACGTACCGCCGTCGCAATCGCCTCCACCGTAAAAATCAAACACACACCTATTAAAATGTGCTAACGTAATTATTGTTACATACTATACAGAGTGATTTAGGCTGACTGTCGTAAAAAGAGAAGAAGCTCTTGGTAGAAGTAACGGCGTAGGTTTCTGTACTGCCAACGCCAGGATCTTGCCCGCATAGAGCTGCGATCCGGAGTGCGGTCGCGCGTCTCCCTCTGCCGTTGTCTAGCGTCTGTCTGACGCCGTATTTGTGTATCACAGCAGTTCGTACTGTGCAGGACAAGTTCATGGCATTGCCGGCCAGCGTCCACTTTAACTTCTACGAGCTGCCTACCGATAACAAAAGGAACCAGTATA